GCAAGCACAGGGCGGGCTCCCATGTCACCCTCTGTATTATGGGACGGCTCTCAGGGGCCACATTCACACCAATCCGCTGCAAGCACAGGGCAGGCTCCCATGTCACCCTCTGTATTAATGAAGGGTCGGCTCTCAGGGGCCACATTCACACCAATCCGCTGCAAGCACAGGGCGGGCTCCCATGTCACCCTCTGTATTAATGAAGGGACGGCTCTCAGGGGCCACATTCACACCTATCCGCTGCAAGCACAGGGCGGGCTCCCATGTCACCTTCTGTATTATGGGACGGCTCTCAGGGGCCACATTCACACCAATCCGCTGCAAGCACAGGGCGGGCTCCCATGTCACCCTCTGTATTAATGAAGGGACGGCTCTCAGGGGCCACATTCACACCAATCCGCTGCAAGCACAGGGCGGGCTCCCATGTCACCCTCTGTATTATGGGACGGCTCTCAAGGGCCACATTCACACCTATCCGCTGCAAGCACAGGGCGGGCTCCCATGTCACCCTCTGTATTATGAAGGGACGGCTCTCAGGGGCCACATTCACACCAATCCGCTGCAAGCACAGGGCGGGCTCCCATGTCACCCTCTGTATTATGAAGGGACGGCTCTCAGGGGCCACATTCACACCTATCCGCTGCAAGCACAGGGCGGGCTCCCATGTCACCCTCTGTATTATGGGACGGCTCTCAGGGGCCACATTCACACCAATCCGCTGCAAGCACAGGGCGGGCTCCCATGTCACCCTCTGTATTATGGGACGGCTCTCAGGGGCCACATTCACACCAATCCGCTGCAAGCACAGGGCGGGCTCCCATGTCACCCTCTGTATTAATGGGACGGCTCTCAGGGGCCACATTCACACCAATCCGCTGCAAGCACAGGGCGGGCTCCCATGTCACCCTCTGTATTAATGAAGGGACGGCTCTCAGGGGCCACATTCACATGCCGCCATTTATTGACTATTACCACCCAGTCCGTGTACGGGACTCACCCGTTCAATCAGACCACACACAGTAACACTGGCACAGATGTGTGGCCCTTAGGTCCGCATTGAGGGCCCACTGAAAACAAATGGGCACATACAGGTGTGAATGCGTCTAAATCCGGATCCATTGTACAGGCTCTGGAAGTGTCAGTGTATCCAATGGGAGGTCAGTAAGTCAGCACAAACTCCCCACAGACCAGCAGATCAACGACGATCAACGAGCCACAGACCAGCAGATCAACGACAGCCACAGACCAGCAGATCAACGACGAGCCACAGACCAGCAGATCAACGACGAGTCACAGACCAGCAGATCAACGACGAGTCACAGACCAGCAGATCAACGACCAGCCACAGACCAGCAGATCAACGACCAGTCACAGACCAGCAGATCAACGACCACATGATCAACAGACCAGCAGATCAACAGATCAACCAGTCACAGACCAGCAGATCAACGACGACCAGACCACAGACCAGCAGATCAACGACCAGCCCAGACCAGACCAGCAGATCAACGACCAGTCACAGACCAGCAGATCAACGACCAGCCACAGACCAGCAGATCAACGACCAGCCACAGACCAGCAGATCAACCAGCCACAGACCATCAGATCAACGACCAGCCACAGACCAGCAGATCAACGACCAGTCACAGACCAGCAGATCAACGACCAGTCCACAGACCAGCAGATCACCACGACCAGCAGATCAACACAGACCACCAGCAGATCAACGACCAGTCACAGACCAGCAGATCAACGACCAGTCACAGACCAGATCAACGACCAGACCCACAGACCAGCAGCAGATCAACGACCAGTCACACCAGCAGACCAGCAGATCAACGACCAGTCACAGACCAGCAGATCAACGACCAGTCACAGACCAGCAGATCAACGACCATCCACAGACCAGCAGATCAACGACCAGTCACAGACCAGCAGATCAACGACAGCCACAGACCCAGATCAACGACCAGTCACAGACCAGCAGATCAACGACCAGCAGATCACACAGACCAGCAGATCAACGACCAGCCACACAGACCAGCAGATCAACGACCAGCCACAGACCAGCAGATCAAACGACCAGATCAACACAGACCAGCAGATCAACGAGACCAGCAGAGACCAGTCACAGACCAGCAGATCAACGACGAGCCACAGACCAGCAGATCAACGACCAGCCACAGACCAGCAGATCAACACAGACCAGCAGATCAACGAGCCACAGACCAGCAGATCAACGACAGTCACAGACCAGCAGATCAACGACCAGATCAACGACCCACAGACCAGCAGATCAACGACCAGCCACAGACCAGCAGATCTCAACAGACAGCAGATCAACACCAGACCACAGACCAGCAGATCAACGCCGGATCCACAGACCCATCACGACCGCCAGATCCGCAGATCAACGAGAGGCAGATCCTGACCACAGACTCAGCATCAACGACGGATCCGCTGGTATCAACAGGGGCCCTGACCATTACTTCATTGGGTTCCGGATCCATACTAGACCAGCAGGGGCCCTGACCACACTCCGGGGTGGCCACATCCGCAGATACAGGGGCCAGACCTGACCAACACTCACAGACCAGGTGCCGGATCCGCTGGTATACAGGGGCCCTGACCACACTCTTGGGTGCCGGATCCGCTGGTATACAGGGGCCCTGACCACACTCTTGGGTGCCGGATCCGCTGGTATACAGGGGCCCTGACCACACTCTTGGGTGCCGGATCCGCTGGTATACAGGGGCCCTGACCACACTCCGGGGTGCCGGATCCGCTGGTATACAGGGGCCCTGACCACACTCAGGGGTGCCGGATCCGCTGGTATACAGGGGCCCTGACCACACTCTTGGGTGCCGGATCCGCTGGTATACAGGGGCCCTGACCACACTCTTGGGTGCCGGATCCGCTGGTATACAGGGGCCCTGACCACACTCCTTGGGTGCCGGATCCGCTGGTATACAGGGGCCCTGACCACACTCCAGGGTTAATGGTGTGGACCGGTTGGGGGGGGGGCGGCGGGGGGTGAGGGTTAATGTTGAGGATCGGGGGGGGGGGGGGGGGGGGGGGGGAGAGGGTTAATGCTGTATACAGGGGGACGGGGGTCAGCGGGGGTGACCAATGGGTGGGGATCGGTATACAGGGGCCCTGGGGTTAATGGTGGGCATCAGGGGAGGGGGGCGGCGGGGGTTAATGGTGGGCACTTCTCCGGGGGGGGGGGGGGGGGGGGGGGGAGGGGTTAATGGTGGACAGGGGTCAGCGGGGGTTAATGGTGGGGGGCGGCGGGGGGTTAATGGTGGGGATCAGGGGAGGGGGGGGCGGGGGGTTAATGGTGGGCATCGGGGGGGGGGGGGCGGCGGGGGTTAATGGTGGGACGGGGGGGGGCAGGCGGGGGTTAATGGTGGGGATCAGGGGGGGGGGGCGGCGGGGGTTAATGGTGGGGATCGGGGGGGGGCGGCGGGGGTTAATGGTGGGGATCAGGGGGTAGGGGGGGCAGCGGGGGTTAATGGTGGGGATCAGGGGGGGGGGGCAGCGGGGGTTAATGGTGGGGATCGGGGGGGGGCGGCGGGGGTTAATGGTGGGGATCAGCGGGGGATGGTGCGGGGGGGGATCGGGGGGGGCAGCGGGGGTTAATGGTGGGGATCAGGGGAGGGGGGGGCGGCGGGGGTTAATGGTGGGGATCACGGGGGGAGGGGGGGCAGCGGGGGTTAATGGTGGGGATCAGTGCGGGGGTTAATGGGGGGATCGGGGGGGCAGCAGGGGTTAATGGTAGGGATCAGGGGAGGGGGGCAGCGGGGGTTAATGGTGGGGTCGGGGGGCGGGGGTTAATGGTGGGGATCAGGGGAGGGGGGGCAGCGGGGGTTAATGGGGGGGGGGGCGGCAGGGGTTAATGGCGCTCAGCAGCGGTCGCCATGTTGGTGGTTTAGCGAGGATGCGGACAGACGGTGACACCAGATTAGGGACTCGCCAGACGGACATTAAATGTGAGCTGCGGGGGGGGGGGGGGGGGGGGGGGGGGATTAACCAGACATGGCGGTCAGGAGGGGAAACGCCGCGGTATATACGGAGCCGCCATCTATTTCTGAGTGAAGATCGGATTTGCCAACCAGACTTCTCTCCCCGCAACATTCTACCGCCTACCCGGAGGAAACCCCCGCAGGCACAGGGAGAACATGCAGACTCCATGCAGGTGGTGCTGTCAGGGGGAAGTGCTGACCACTCAGCCTCTGTGCTGCCCCCGATAACTAAAGATGGTGGTGGCCTCGCCGCTGTGGGAGGGGAAAGGCGGGTATACGTCAGGTGACCATTCAGGGTGCAGGTTAGTTTTTGGGGTTCAGGAATCATTTATAGCTCGCCCTGGGGTCAGTCAGGGTTCAACTAAAGGTTAGGATTGGGGGGGATAGAGTACACATGAAGCTTAATTACGTATATTCTTCTTCCCTAGTCCCCCCTCCCCCTCAACACAATGACATCATTACATAAATCCTTTCCTTTTTCATTATTTTCATCCCTATGATGTCATCACTGGGTCTCCGTGCTTCTCTATGCAATGCAGGCAGATCATGGCAGGTGGGAGGGGCTGTACATAGCCTCCTGAAACCATCACAGCCCCCTGCCACAGTACTCCTCTCAAGAGCCCTCAGTCCTGATGCAAGCGATGGGAGGAGTTATGCAAATATCAAAATGTCTTGATGAGTGGGTGTCAAACTGGAGGAGTGGGCGTTCCCAGGAAGGCTGGATTTGCATGCAAACCTCCTAAGTAACACCCACACATGACAATGAGTCTCCATGAGTGCAACAACTGAAATCCAATGAATGAAAGGGGCGGGGCCAGAGAGTCAGGCTGAGGAGGAAAGAAAGAGCTAGATGATGCTGGATGTCCTCCAGACAAGAAAGGAGGCGGAGCTCTGTTTGGTTGGCTGCAGCTTCTAATGCACATTGTGAGACGCTCCCAGTGTGCAGTGACATCAAAGGAAGCCATTTCATTCCGGGGGAGGAGCCGGCACGCCTATGCAAGGCTGAAGGGGAGGAGCCGGCACGCCTGTGCAAGGCTGGGGGGGAGGAGCCGGTACCCCTGTGCAAGGCTGGGGGGGGGAGGAGTGCGCTAGCCGGTACCTGTGCAAGGCTGAAGGGGAGGAGCCGCTGCAACAACCTGTGCAAGGCTGAAGGGGAGGAGCCGCTACACCTGTGCAAGGCTGAAGGGGAGGAGCCGCTACACCTGTGCAAGGCTGAAGGGGAGGAGCCGCTACACCTGTGCAAGGCTGAAGGGGAGGAGCCGCTACACCTGTGCAAGGCTGAAGGGGAGGAGCCGCTACACCTGTGCAAGGCTGAAGGGGAGGAGCCGGTACACCTGTGCAAGGCTGAAGGGGAGGAGCCGGTACACCTGTGCAAGGCTGAAGGGGGGACCGGTACACCTGTGCAAGGCTGAAGGGGAGGAGCCGGTACACCTGTGCAAGGCTGAAGGGGAGGAGCCGGTACGAAAAACCTGTGCAAGGCTGAAGGGGAGGAGCCGGTACAACCTGTGCAAGGCTGAGGGGAGGAGCCGGGACACCTGTGCAAGGCTGAAGGGGAGGAGCCGGGACACCTGTGCAAGGCTGAGGGGAGGAGCCGGGACACCTGTGCAAGGCTGAGGGGAGGAGCCGGGACACCTGTGCAAGGCTGAGGGGAGGAGAGCCGGGACAAAACCTGTGCAAGGCTGAGGGGAGGAGCCGGGACACCTGTGCAAGGCTGAGGGGAGGGAGCCGGGACACCTGTGCAAGGCTGAGGGGAGGAGCCGGGACACCTGTGCAAGGCTGAGGGGAGGAGCCGCTACACCTGTGCAAGGCTGAGGGGAGGAGCCGCTACACCTGTGCAAGACTGAAGGGGAGGACTGAAGGGATTCCCTCAGTCCAGTCATTATAGAGATGGTAGATTTCCATCCCCAGTAGATCTCTTCCTCTGGATTGTATGAACCCTGAAGGCGGATCGGAGGATCCCGGATCACAGCCCAATACTGAACCAATGTGTGAGGAGCCGACCATGACGGGAATCCATCCAATCAGGACACTTCATAAGGTCCCACCCACTCCACCCTGCAAAGCCAGCCATTCCCCGACCACCGGGGGCCCAATAATATCACAGACACTCAGCAACAATGTATACTGAAATACGTCACTGCATGAGCTACATTATAGGCCGCCTGTCCTGACCCGTCTCACCATGGACCCCCTGGAGACCCCTGAAGGTACGCCGTGGTATCGGCTCCGAGCCATCAGTAGAAGATCCCTCAAGTCCTATAAGTTGGGAGGCGGGGCCTCCATGGATCAGAATTATCTTTCCGGCACATCCCACAGATGCTCAATTGGATGGAGATCTGGAGAATTAGGAGGCCAAGTCAACACCTCAAACTTATTGTGTTCCTCAAACTATTCTTGAATCCCTCAGACCAGCCACCTTCTTCTGGACACGGGTCAGCATGGACACCAGGAACGGTCTGCGACTACACAGCCCCATACACAGCAAACTGCCCCGACACCTTCCTACCAGAACCAGCATGAGCTTCTCCAGCAATCTGATCTCCAGGAGCTCTTCTATTGGATAGAATTACACAAGTCAGCCTCCCCCCAACCGCCATCAATGAGTCCCCCCCCCTTCATCAATGAGCCTTACCTCCCCCACCTCCGTCCATGAGCCTTCCCTCCCACCCCCCACCTCCGTCAATGAGCCTTCCCTCCCCCACCTCCGTCAATGAGCCTTCCCTCCCCCCCACCTCCGTCAATGAGCCTTCCCTCCCCCACCTCCGTCAATGAGCCTTCCCTCCCCCACCTCCGTCAATGAGCCTTCCCTCCCCCACCTCCGTCAATGAGCCTTCAATGAGCCCTCCCTCCCCCACCTCCGTCAATGAGCCTTCCCTCCCCCACCTCCGTCAATGAGCCTTCCCTCCCCCACCTCCGTCAATGAGCCTTCCCTCCCCACCTCCGTCAATGAGCCTCCACCCCCCACCTCCGTCAATGACCCTTCCCTCCCTCGTCACCTCCATCAATGACCCTTCCCTCACCACCTCCATCAATGACCCTTCCCTCCCCCACCTTCCTCAATGAGCCTTCCCTCCCCCCCCCTCCCTCAATGAGCCTTCCCTCCCCACCTCCCTCAATGAGCCTTCCCTCCCCACCTCCCTCAATGAGCCTTCCCCTCCCCCACCTCCATCAATGAGCCTTCCCTCCCCACCTCCATCAATGAGCCCTTCCCTCCCCACCTCCATCAATGAGCCTTCCCTCCCCACCTCCATCAATGAGCCTTCCCTCCCCACCACCATCAATGAGCCCCCCCACCTTCATCAATGAGCCTTCCCTCCCCACCTCCATCAATGAGCCCATCAATGAGCCTTCCCTCCCCACCTCCATCAATGAGCCCCCCCTACATCAATGAGCCTTCCCTCCCCACCTCCATCAATGAGCCCCCATCAATGCCCCCCCCTTCCCCACCTCCGTCAATGAGCCTTCCCTCCCCACCTCCGTCAATGAGCCTTCCTCTCCCCACCTCCGTCAATGAGCCTTCCCTCCCCCACCTCCGTCAATGAGCCTTCCCTCCCCCACCTCCGTCAATGAGCCTTCCCTCCCCCACCTCCGCCAATCAGCCTTCCCTCCCCCACCTCCGCCAATCAACCTTTCCCTCCCCCACCTTCGCCAATCAGCTTTCCCTCCCCCACCTTCGCCAATCAGCTTTTCCCTCCCCCACCTTCGCCAATCAGCCTTCCCTCCCCATCTCCATCAATGCATCTTCCCTCCCCACCTCCATCAATGTGCCTTCCCTCTCCCCACACCTCCAACACTGAGCCTTGTCTCCCCCCCCCCCACCTCCATCAATGAGCTTCCCCCTCCCCCCCCCCACCTCCATCACTGAGCCTTCTCTCCCCCCCACCTCCATCAATGAGCTTTCCCTCACCCCCCCCCCCCCCCGCCCCCATCAATGAGCCTTCCCCCCACCTCCATCAATGCGCCTTCCCTCCCCCCCACCTCCATCAATGAGCCTTCCCACCCACCTTCAATAACCTCCCTCCCCACCTCCATCAATGACCTTGTCACCGGTTGGCCGGTCCTCTTTTGGTTGGTCCTGACCACTGCAGACCGGGGGAGCAGTATTGGAGTTGCTCTGACCCGTCATCTACACATCACAATGTGGTCCTTGTCAGAGTCCCTCCAATACTTACACTTTTACGGCTTTCATCGTATCAACTTCAGGGACAACATGTTCACTTGTTGCCCAATATATCCCGCCCCAATAATATATCCCACCCACTTCTAGATCTCCTAATATATCCCGCCCACTTCTAGATCTCCTAATATATCCCGCCCACCTAGATCTCCTAATATATCCCGCCCCCACTTCTAGATGGCAATGAGATAATCATCGGTCAGAATGTTCTGATTGGTCACCGTATAACACATGAGAAGTACGGCGTATTTTATACTGACCCCCCATGAAGGCTGCCCTGCCCCCTGAACACCCCCCACCCCCACCTCCTGTGATCTCCGCACCTTCCCAGAGTTCCATCACCATACAGTTCAGGGGCCGAGTCCACAAAGATATCACATGTTCTGCTGGCCACAGCGATCGGCATCCCCAACTCTCATTGGCTTCTGAAATCATCATCACAGCAAGTAGAGAAACTTTTATAACTTACTGATCTAAGCCAAATAGAAAGCCTCCGTTGTCGCACGCCCGCCACAGAAAGCCCGTCGCAACAGAAAGCCTCCGATGTCGCCACGCCCGCCGCCAACAGCCAACAAAGCCTCCGATGTCGCACGCCCGCCAACAGAAAGCCTCCGATGTCGCACGCCCGCCAACAGAAAGCCTCCGATGTCGCACGCCCGCCAACAGAAAGCCTCCGATGTCGCACGCCCGCCAACAGAAAGCCTCCGATGTCGCACGCCCGCCAACAGAAAGCCTCCGATGTCGCACGCCCGCCAACAGAAAGCCTCCGATGTCGCACGCCCGCCAACAGAAAGCCTCCGATGTCGCGACACGCCCGCCAACAGAAAGCCTCTGCGATGTCGCACGCCCGCCAACAGAAAGCCTCCGATGTCGCACGCCCGCCAACAGAAAGCCTCCGATGTGTCGCATGTCGCACGCCCGCCAACAGAAAGCCTCCGATGTCGCACGCCCGCCAACAGAAAGCCTCCGATGTCGCACGCCCGCCAACAGAAAGCCTCCGATGTCGCACGCCTCCGCCAACAGAAAGCCTCCGATGTCGCACGCCCCCGCCAACAGAAAGCCTCCGATGTCGCACGTCCCGCCCAACAGAAAGCCTCCGATGTGTCGCTAGAAACGCCCGCCAACAGAAAGCCTCCGATGTCGCACGCCCGCCAACAGAAAGCCTCCGATGTCGCACGCCCGCCAACAGAAAGCCTCCGATGTCGCACGCCAACGCCCGCCAACAGAAAGCCTCCGATGTCGCACGCCCGCCAACAAAAGCCTCCGATGTCGCACGCCCGCCAACAGAAAGCCTCCGATGTCGCACGCCCGCCAACAGAAAGCCTCCGATGTCGCACGCCCGCCAACAGAAAGCCTCCGATGTGTCGCCTCCGATGTCGTCCGCCCCAGAGAAAGCCTCCGATGTCGCACGTCCGCCAACAGAAAGCCTCCGATGTCGCACGTCCGCCAAGAGAAAGCCTCCGATGTCACACGTCCGTCTAGAGAAAGCCTCCGATGTCACACGTCCCTCTAGAGAAAGCCTCCGATGTCACACGTCCCTCTAGAGAAAGCCTCCGATGTCACACGTCCCTCTAGAGAAAGCCTCTGATGTCACACGTCCGTCTAGAGAAAGCCTCTGATGTCACACGTCCACCAAGAGAAAGCCTCTGATGTCACACGTCCGTCTAGAGAAAGCCTCTGATGTCACACGTCCACCAAGAGAAAGCCTCTGATGTCACCCGTCCACCAAGAGAAAGCCTCTGATGTCACACGTCCACCAAGAGAAAGCCTCTGATGTCACACGTCCACCAAGAGAAAGCCTCTGATGTCACACGTCCGTCTAGAGAAAGCCTCCGATGTCACACGTCCCTCTAGAGAAAGCCTCCGATGTCACACGTCCCTCTAGAGAAAGCCTCCGATGTCACACGTCCACCAAGAGAAAGCCTCTGATGTCACACGTCCACCAAGAGAAAGCCTCTGATGTCACACGTCCACCAAGAGAGAAAGCCTCTGATGTCACACGTCCCTCTAGAGAAAGCCTCTGATGTCACACGTCCGTCTAGAGAAAGCCTCTGATGTCACACGTCCGTCTAGAGAAAGCCTCTGATGTCACACGTCCGTCTAGAGAAAGCCTCTGATGTCACACGTCCGTCTAGAGAAAGCCTCTGATGTCACACGTCCACCAAGAGAAAGCCTCTGATGTCACACGTCCACCAAGAGAAAGCCTCTGATGTCACACGTCCACCAAGAGAAAGCCTCCGATGTCACACGTCCACCAAGAGAAAGCCTCCGATGTCACACGTCCCTCTAGAGAAAGCCTCTGATGTCACACGTCCGCCTAGAGAAAGCCTCTGATGTCACACGTCCACCTATAACCATCTACAACTGTCACACCTCAAAGAACGAGGTGAGAAACTCGACTCAAGCAAACACACCCCCCCCCCCCATATATGTGCAGGCTGACCTATACCAAGGGGTTAAACCCGAC